CAATGCCAGTCCTAGTTTATTGAAAAAATTAGATGTCATCCAAAATATTGGGCTAAGAATCATTAGTGGTGCTATGAGATCAACTCCAATAAATACATTAGAAGCCGAAACTTGTATTCATCCATTAACATTAAGAAGATTTCAGTTAGCACAAAATTTCTCAATTAAACAGCTGTCGGCTAACAATAGTCATATTGTTAATAATTTGATTCTCCCTTCAGAACTTGCAAATAACATAACAGAATCTATAGTTTCTACAAATAATCTTATTAGTAGTAAATTACCTGAAATGTGTACCATAATGACATATATCAGAGAAAAATGTGTACATATGTTTATAGCTAGTGATAATAAATGGCCTGTATATAAATGCAAATATGATGCTTTATACTTGCTAAAAACTATAGTCCATTTACCTAATATTGAGAATAATAATGATTATTTACAATTTGTCAAAAACAGAAATGAATTTTATAAAATTTTCACAGATGGTTCAAAGGAGTGTCATAAAGATGTAGTTAGGTGTGGCTTCTATGACCCTCAGCTAAACTTTATTAAAGTATATGCATTGAATAACAAAGCCAGTGTATTTTCATCTGAGGCTTATGCTATTTATCAAGCTTTATGCTATATTTTAAAAGCAGACTCTTTTGTAAATAATGTACATAATTTTCTTGTCATATCTGATTCTAAAAGTGTGTTATTAGCATTAGAAAGTAATAGGCTAGATTCTAAGGTAAATCATATTATATATAAAATAAGAGACCTTTTATATGACTTGTATATACAGAAGAGAGAAGTGCAATTTTTATGGGTTCCCTCCCACAGAGGCATTGCTGGAAATGAGAATGTGGATAAAGCATTGATTGCAAATAACCCAGAGGATCACTCTACCTTTCCAATAGCATACACAGATCACTTATCATCAGAGAAAGATGAAATTAAACATTTGTGGATTAACTATTGGAACCACTGGAACAATTCCAAAGGGAAATGGTACGCAACAATACAGAAAAGTTTGCCAAACAAGCCATGGTATAATAATGCAATATGTGAGTCGAGAAAATTTATTACAACTATTAACCCTTAAATGCATCTTGTGCCAAAAACGGCACAATAAATTAAAGTTCAAATAACCCGCCAAACATTAAACTGTCATGTTATTAGCTGTTGCATTTTTAATCTGTCATCTATAAAGAAAAAAAAAACGAGAATATCAGTCTTTAGTCTGCATTACTAGTATATTTTATCTGTGGAATTATGACAGAGGTTTGAGTACTTGGCGCCAAGCGAAGTTACCGAAGTTCAATTCAAAAAATCCAAGTCCGTTTATTGTATTCTCTCGAGTAAAAATAATATTTTAGCAGGTAAGTTCATCCAAAATATGTGCTTATTATTATTTTACTTCACATTTCAATCATTGACTCGTAAAAACACCAAAATATCTTTGTGCCGAAAACGACCCTTCATGCATTTTTAGTACAATTTTTTCCCGCTAAGTGCTTACCTGTACTAACACGTTTCAAAAGATTTATTTGCTTTTTTACTTTACTGGGTGGTTGGTTATTGCATATTGTTGTGTTGCTTTATAGCTATGGATGACAAAAATATAGAAGAGATGCTTCGCATGCTAGAAAGTGGCGAAATTTCTGACGACGAGATGGAATCCGACGGGGAAGACCTAGATTATTATCCGTCTCGTCAAGAGCTTATAGATGAGTTAGAAGAATCTCCATTAGAACCATTCAGTGGTGATGGTGAAGACATTGATCCATCTCTTACAGATATGCAAGTTATTGATCCCCCCTTAGCAACTGACGACGCAAATTGTGACAGTAACCCTCCAATAATACCTAATAATTCAACTTCTGAAAACTCTAATTATTTGCCAAGTGGAGGTAGAAATCTACTATGGAGAAAACAAAATCTGGTCTATTCTGAAGACAAAATAACCTTTTTAGGGTCTGAAGAATTATCTTCAAATATTTTGGAATTAGATACACCTTACCAATTTTTTACGTACTTTTTTAATAATGACTTTTTAGAGTCTATTGTTCAAGAATCAAACCTTTACGCAACTCAGAACCAACCTAATAGAGTAGAAACATTTACAGTAGAAGATTTGCGTAAATATTTGGGGATTATCACTTTTATGTCTATTTACCACTACCCCAATATTCGTTCGTACTGGGGCAAATTTGGGTTTGGCCCTATACGAGAAACTATGCCCGTGAATAAATTTGAAAAAATTAGAAGAATGTTGCATTTTAACGACAATTCAAAACATCTTCCAGTCGACCATCCAGACCACGACAAGTTGCACAAATTGCGGCCAGTGGTAACACATTTGAACAACAAATTTTCTAGTGTTACGATTGACCAACGCTTGTCAATCGATGAGCAAATGTGTTCAACAAAAATCGGTCACTTTTTGAAACAATATATGCCCAACAAGCCTCACAAATGGGGTTTCAAATTATTTGTTCTCTGTAGCTTACTGGGATATTCATATAATTTTATAATATATGCGGGTAAAGAAAAAGATGACGAGAGACTACCAAGTGAACCTGACATAGGAGTTGTTGGACAAACTGTCATGAGGTTGATCAGGGTGGTTCCAAGACAAAAAATCATATCGTTTACTTCGATAATTATTATACGTCGTTGCCCCTAATGTATCATTTGGCCAGCCGAGGGAATCCATTCTTTAGGAACCATACAGCGAAATCGTTTGGGAAAAAGTTGTAAATTGCCTGATAAAAAAGACGTAATGAAAAGTTCTGTACCTCGAGGAACATATGAAGAATATGTCACCAATTTTGATGATGTGGACATTGCTGCAGTTTCGTGGAAAGACAATAAACAAGTTACCCTGGCATCTACTTACGTAGGTGCAGAACCTGCGGGAACAATCAATAGATATGATAAAAAATTTAAGCGTAAACTCGAAATTCCTTGCCCCAAACTCGTAAAAGAGTATAATGCACATATGGGAGGTGTCGACCTTATGGATTCTCACCTTGGCAGGTATAGAATTCGTATCAAAAGCAGAAAATGGTACATGAGAATTTTTTACCATCTGTTGGACCTCACCATCATCAATGCCTGGATTCTTTACAGAAAAGTAATGGGTAAAAGGGGGAAAGCCAGCAAAGATATCATGAATCTTGCAGACTTTCGTTCTGAATTAGCAGACACACTTTGCAAATATTCCACACCTATACCTAGGGGTCGACCACGTTCTACATCAACTGCAGAAGCTGGCCCGCCTCCCAAGATACGGAAAGGAAAGCCCTGTCAAGTTTTACCCCCAAATGACGTTATACTCGATGGCTTGGGCCATGAACAAGTAAGAACACCTAATAGGATGAGATGTATGTTTCCAACCTGCAATTTGAAGACTGTAGTAATGTGTGCGAAATGTAAAATTCATTTATGCGCAAAAAAAAACAAAGACTGCTTGAATGACCTACACAAAAAAAATAATTCCATTTAATGCATGTAGTGCCGAAAACGGCACATGTTGATTTTTGCTAAATATATACATAAAAAATTAAATCTGATTTTTTTTATTATTTTTTATCGAACCTAATCACAATATTCTATAAAAAACTATTTTTTTCAAATTAAAATAAAAGCTCATGCATTTAAGGGTAACAGGCTGCGCTTTGGACACTGTTTGGTTCCAACTCACTTGCATAGGCTTAAAATTTTGTCGAACGACAAATGCAGATATTGCCAGACTCCGCATGCAGACATAAATCACGTAATTTTCTCATGTCCTGAATTTAACATCCAACGTCTACTACTAATTTGCGAGTTGCAAGATATTCAATCAGAAGACCAGAGCAATTGTTTTCCCCGCCGCATTGAAGATTTTCTCTCCAACCCATGCTATTTTAAACCAATTTATAAATATATTGTAAATACTGTAGATAAGATATAGAATAAGACAAAACGAATATGTTATTTGTTTTTCTTTAGGTTATTTTTATTCCATTGTTTACTTTCTATTGTTTCTATCCTTCTATCGCTGTCAATGTCATTGTCAAAATTTAAGGTGTCAGTAATCTGTTTCACGCATCTCACGTTTGTATTTTATTTAAGTTTGTATTAGTACTATGTGTTCGGCTTTATGGACTTGTATCCTGGCTATGTCATTTGCTAATTAAAAAAAAAAAAAACTGCCATGCAGTGTTACCAGATGAGGAAACTGATATTACAGTGTTGGGTCCAAAAAAATACAGTGTTTGAGACAAAAATACAGTAAAAGTAAAAAAAATATACAGTAAATTTTACAGCAGATATCAAGAAACTTATATTGTTTAATTTAAATGAAAATACACTCTCTAGTTGGCCAAACAACCACTTATTAATCACTGTCACTATCATTTAGCCCGATAGCCGTTTCTTTTTTGTAGATACCCGAATGAAATGATTTTGACATTTTCTCAGTTGGTTTAAAATTAAGCAACTCGTGCTTAAACACAGTTAACAAAATTTGGGCGCTTAATACTACGTACCTACTCTACGAAATGATTCCTAGTCTACGTCCGGGGAATCCCCGCATAGTATACACCGCGCCACTATTCATGTCCGTTTAAAATAAGACATTTCAGTTCTTATTTCAAAAGTAATAAGAGTTGTGTCATAAGCAGAGAGGTGGCGCGGGACGGGGGGTTGCCTTTCGACAAGTTTGTAATAATCTTTTTTTACAAAGGCTGCCTTCAGTTTACTTACATTAAACTACGAGTGCGTTCGAGATCCGGTGAAAAATAGTCCGGTAAGTTTTAAACTCATTCTCAAACGCTCTCCGAAAAGATTTTAGCCCTTAGAAAAATTACAGTGTTCTCCATACACTGTAATTTTGGTATTACAGTGTACAGTAGATCATGTGAAAATACAGTAGATCTGCTGTAATTACAGTGTATCTGGCAACACTGCTGCCATGGCACATGAGCAATGTCTACGACATTGCTCATTGTGACTGACACTGACATCATTGCTGACAATTTGTTTAATTTGTTTTTAGTAGTGTAATTGAACAGTTGATATTTTTTTCTATTACTAAACAGCTCTGTTAGCAAGAAAAAAGCAGAATTAGTAGCCTGTGTACACATTCTACAAAATTAAAGAAAGACCAGAATGGGCAACTGGAAACTCGAAGTCGGGAAAATGGCTATGTATATGTCCTTTCCAGTATTTCTTTTCCATTTCTTTAACCAGCCGACCTATTTTGAAGAATGGGTCACCAACACGAAGCGTCAAATCTACCCCCCAGAAAATGTACAAGATAGGGAGGATATACAAAATCTTATACAAGAAATGAGGAAAAAACAAATGCAAAATCTAGAAAGTTAAAACCATAACGGAATTTATTCTTCAATTACCGGATAAGACAAATTTAGAATAAATATAGTTTATTTCACATAGGTATCTTATTTATGTAATCTAATATACACACTTTACTAATAAATGTAAGAACAAACTTGAACTCGCCACTGAAATAAAGATAAATGGGTAAAATATTTTTTCAATACTATTGCCAGTACAATTGTTGTAAATTCTATATTTCAAATAAAAAAAATCATGCTGAAGGATAAAGAACAAATTTATAGTAGCTATTATAACCTTGCATAAAGCAATTGTCTGTAACAAGTTGACAAATATAACTATTTTATTCATGTTTATACTTTGGATAAGAACAATTCACATACATTGTTCATAGTTATGTATTTATAAATACTTTGAGAAGCCCTTAAAATCACAGAACATCATACTTATCTCACCTGTACACATAAATTTATTCAACTTTTGCTCTTTTTTTTCTATAATTGTATCCCATTATAAAGCCAATTAATGTTGAGCAAAATGATGCATAAATAACATAACTAACACTGATATATTGACCAATGAATCCAGCTACTATAGGTGAAATAACTCCTGTCAGGGATCTAACACTGTTTGATGCACCTATTAATGTACCTCTATGCTCACCATGGCTGCGTTTCAATATCATTTCTAATGTGACTAATCTACCAACAGCATTTCCAATTGCAAGGGGTATCAACCATATCACATAAATATACACATTAAAGGATAGTATCAACCCTAATAAAGACAGAGTTAATAATACAAAAACATGGAAGTTTCTTAAGCTGTAATCAATATCTCCCTTATAGAAACTATTTATAACTCCCATATAAAAACTTGATACTGATCCTACAACTCCTTGGAATGATATTACATAGCCTATATACTTTGGTGTTAACTCATATTTAGTCTTCAGATATAAAGAATAATTTGAATAGTACACTCCCATAGCAAATCCTATTAAAGCCTTGAACGTGAAAATATCCCAATAATCAGACCACTCCACTTTATACAATTCAATAACTGATTCTCTAATGCTACTTATGAAAGAATTTACTATATCAGTATTTGCATTTTTATTTTTATGTTTCTTTTTTAGATATTTTTTTGATTTTGGTAAAAAATACACTAAACCTGAAACAAAGGAAAAAAAATCATGAACGACAATATAAAATTTTCATAATACACACTTGTCAAAAGATAATTTGACCCGTTTACACCAAGGTATAATACATGTATATAACAAATTTTATACATTGTCTTAATTTTTTGTTCAAACTTTTATACATGTGTAAATCATGTAGTATACAATACTTGCATTAAACTTGTTGGATATAGGTACAAAATATTTGAAGTAAATAGTGATTAATACTTGTAAACATACTCATTGTCTAATGTATTAATAGTAATTCTGACAGCTAACTATATATATAATTTTAAAAAAAAGTCCAAAGGTTCAAACACATGGTTCTAAAGCACCACAGCTTGTCATTGAGTCACGGAGGGACTTGCTTTGTGTAATGAAATGAGTATTTGTTTTAATGTGTACCTTATGGCAGGTACATTTAACTATGGTATGCAAACATAAAATTTACCTGCATTTACTGTGAAGCAAATTCCAACAATTACTGCCAAGTATGTAAAACCTTTATCTGGATAATCTTCAGCTATGTGGCCACCTATAATTGGGCCTAATGTAATGCCAGTGCCCGATATAGCTGCCATTTTTCCATATATGGCCGATTGCTGGTTTTCGCTCTTTTCATAATCTGGTACCAAAGCTTTGGTCAGCATTTGAGTTTGTTTGAAAAGGCCTATAAGAACAACAAGCAGTTCATTTTAAACTCAAAAACAAAATTTATAAAATTTACAAGGATCTTAATAAAATAGTATATACCAAGCACAGCTCTCAATAATAAAATCATATGGACTGATTCAGTTAATCCCAATAATGTATATGCTACTGCACATACTAATAAAGTAAACATTAATATTGATTTTCTGCCTTTTACATCACTGAGACTACCCTGTAAAGAATAAATCTGATTGAAAATTTCATTTTCAAACAATAGATACGCCTGTAAGCAACATTACTTCTTTTTTATTTCATTTCATAATTATAATTCAATCAGTTCTAAGTGTATCTATAACTTAAAATAATAGCCTTTGCATAGTGGGAATAAAATAACTGAACTTTTATTCAATATACTTACAATAACAGGCCCAGAGGCCAGCTGAAAACTGGCATAAATAGATCCTAGTAATCCCACATAAATATGATCAGCCCCCATTTTCCTTACATGACCAGCTACTAAGGGTACTATCAATCCCACTGCCAAAAGGTCCTAATAAAATCAATAAAAGAATATGAGAAAAAATCTGTATACAAAAAGTAACATTAATAAATTATAATTTCATCCTCAATGAAAACAACTAAATAGTTAAAATAATGTAGATACCAAAAAAGCGACAACTTGGAGTAAGCATACTGAAATATTCATTAGGTATTAAAGTAGGCTCGTGTAAATCTGTAAATCTTTTCAAATCCAGAGAGCATTAATTAAAGTCGTCTCGTTACAAAATAGACATTTTTTTTTTGTTGAAGTTCTCCCGTTTAGGGAAGGCAAAGGGAACAATGCCCATACAGCCTAGTCTTTAATTAAATTAATCTTCTTTTTTTTTACATTAGAATGTCGGTGTGACGCATTCTAATGTTTCTTGGAGTGTTTGGCACGAAATGTATCGAGTTGGCTTTTTCGATAAGCTTCTGTGAGGTAGTCAACACTACAATAAAATTCTCACGTCCACTTGACCGGAATAGCGTATATTTTAACGATTCCACTAATTCTTCAGTTACGCAGACGGTTGTTACACAAAACCACACCAATTTTATTTCACAATATCCACTATGAACGAATTTAAGAATAATTAAAATAAGACGCCAACCGCACTCGATGAAATCCCGCCAAAAAAAACCTAAAATAGACATTTTTTTTTTTATATCTTTTTTCCCATCTTGGGAAAGGCAAAGGCAGAGCCATGCAGCCATAGTCTTCATTTAAAGGATTTTTTTTTGTTTGTTTTTTCTATAAGGCCGAAGCCACTTCTTCAATCATAAGGTATTTGTCCTAAAATAGACAATAGAGCCCGTTTTGACATTTCTCATCCTTTTTTTTTTTGGTTGTTCTCCCTTTTCAGGGAAGGCAAAGGGAACAACTCCCATACAGCCTAGTCTTAAGTTAAATTATTCTGTTTTTTTTTTACATTAGAATGTCGGTGTGACGCATTCTAATGTTTTTTGAAGTGTTTGGCACGAAATATATCGAACTGGCTTTTTCGATAAGCTTCTGTGAGGTAGTTAATACTACAATAAAATTCTCACGTCCACTTGACCGGAATAGCGTATATTTTGACGATTATACTATTTCTTCAGTTACGCAGGCAGTTGTAACACAAAATCACACCAATTTTATTTCACAATATCCACTATGAACGAATTTAAGAATAATTAAATTAAGACGCCAACCACACTCGATGAAATCCCGCCAAAAACCCTCTTTTTTTATATATATAATTTTTACGGCCTTGGAGTTTCCCATATTGGCCAGATATTAGTGGTATGTCATCTATATCTTGCCGAAAGTATATATAATGAACTCAAATAGTAGTTCGTAACAGGCATTCTCGCTCCGACCGCGGACCGTGCGCCCCGTCGCACAGCCGCCTCCTTGCTCCGTGCGTCCCGCCGCACAGCTGCCTGCGCGTCGACTCGACGCGCCTGCACTCATTCGTGAGACCCAAGATTGGACCAGTGGATACCTAGCGGTATTAACGAAACTGGTCGGCGTAGCCCCGGTACGTCTCGAGCTCTCCTGAGCTCGGAAAACGGAAGACCCGATCCCATTTGCACTTGGGCCTTCCCAAGGGTGACGGTTGTTCCCATATTCACTAGGATTATCGGAACACATCTCTTACAGCTTCAACCAACCCCCTGCCGCGGGCAGGGGAGTCCACCGGTGTCGCATAGGGTGTTAGGACCTGTGGCTTCACGCCACAGTCAGGGCACACCTACACGCACTCACACCAGCCAAACACAACATATCACAATGGACATTACACGCCAGATACTGTCCCTTTTCTCAGCCCTAGGCCTCACCCTGGACGAGGCCGCCATCAGGGAGCTTGTCGCGAGAGCGCGCCCCATGCGCGACTCTCCCGCCAGCCCCCCGCCCCGACACCCCCTGCCTCCCCTCGAGCGCGAGCAAGCGCCCCGCCTCGAGCCCGGCTTCGACCTGTGACTCCGACTCGACCATAGTGTCGGCGTCCGATGTCTCCGTGTTCACCACTGTGGTGAGCAAAAAGAAGAAGCGGCGCTCCAAGCGCCGTGCAGACACCGCGTCTCCAACGGCGCCCCTCTCGCCTCCCGCTCTCCTGTCTCAGACAGTTGATGAGCCCTCTGTCCCTCTCACCCCTCTCACGGTCGCCCAACCGACCACCCAAACCCACCCAACCCAAACAACACATACCACAAACACTCAGAAACCACACAATAGGTGCACCGCCGCACCTATCAAAGCAAAGCCGCCGCCGCCCGTCTTTCTGCGCGATAAGGTGCAAAGGGCGAAGGTCGCGGACCTTTGCAAATCACACAACATAAACTACACCCAAGCGTCGAACACTGGTCACGCCATTAAAATAGTCACACCCACTATTGACACGTTCAGGAGCCTCACAAGGCTTTTGACCACAAACAAATTCCCTTACCACACTTACGCTCTCCCCGAAGAGTTCAAAGTCCGCGCGGTACTCAGAGGAGTCCCCTTCGAGCTCTCCAACGAGCTCATACTTAGCGACCTAATCGCTCAAGGCTTCCCAGCCGAGGCAGTGCACAAAATGCACAGCCGGACTGGCAAGCAGTATCCGTTGGCCCTAGTTATTTTGACCGCGGTCCCGGCAGTTAGGGAAATTTTTAAAGGTCCCATAACCGTTTGTAGCCTCGACAATATCAAAGTCGAGGCCCCACAC